AAAACAATAGTATATATGATGTATTCTTGTTAAGATTGACGCCTTTTATCCTTTCGCAGGAGCTGTCTAAAGCATTACAAAACAACAAATTTAACTGGTAAGTCAGATTAATAAGTTAAATCTATTGTCAGTTTAAGTTCTCATTAAACCAATTGAGTATACCAACGTTTGTAATTACAGTCGACTTTTTTCCAGATATTAAACCCCCTAGCCTTTTTGGTTTAATATCGATTTTGTTATATCGTGTTAACAGTTGATTTTTCTCACGACAACTGACACTTCCACCTTTTTTAACAAAAGTCTAATTAATATATATATTTCTTTAAAGAAAAAGAATTACAATACCTGAGATGAGTAGTGTTTTTACTTTCGAATTATATGGAATTTCATTTTGCTAATATTCTATGGTTGTGAAATCAACTTCTACGTATAGTTTGCATTTTTGAAAAGAATTTATTTCGGTGAGGAAAAAAATCAAACGCAGGTTTACCATCTGTCAATTTCAATAAGGTCTAAGAGGCCGAGTCTAAAGGACCCAAGCATGAATTTTCAATAATATCTCACTCTAATGCTGTTCCTCTGTTCCCTGAAATCATAAATTCAGTACCGGATCATCACAAAGTATATTGAGTGCAGGCTACACCTAATGCTTATACCTGGTATTAACTTCTGATGCTTCGTAACTTTTGTTCCAGCGGCTTAATTAAAAGTAAGAAACACATCACCATTGGCGAGGATTACTTGAAATCCCTGATACGATGGATGTCCAGTTGTGTACAGCTGATACTGTACCTCAGGGGTCAGTCCTCCAAGTACCGGGCCGGGGGGAGGGGAGGGCTGGATGATGACACACAGGGGGCGTTTCACGAGCTAGCCTCTGGTCTAGAGGAGATCGTGGTCTTTTGTTTCCAGCAAACTGTGTACACCATCACCAAGGTAACTAAAACACATTTATACATTTCTTCCTAAGTTCGATATCTCCTATTTCAAATCATGTCATTCGTATAAAAGTCTTCTCAGAAAATGGCTGAAAGATTTCTTTTCTTGGAGAAAGAGATTAAGTAATACAAATTTGGATTATACATGTATTCTCTTCAAATTCAGGCACTTTACATGCTGATGCCGGCCGTGCTCGATAGTAACCCGTTTTCGGAAAATCACGGTCCAGAGAAGCGAGGAGGAGTGTGGAAAATCACAATGGTCCTTGATGTCATTGTACAAATGACCAGCGGGCAACAGTTACATACAGAAGTTGCAAAACAGCTCTTCATGTACATTTTCTTTTTCTGCAGTACATCTGTTTTCAACCGACTCTTTCTCAGGGGTACGTTTTTCTGATCTTTTAAACTTATCGCATCCTCTCCGGTCTTTCCAATAAGCTGTTTCCGCTAAGAAAAAATTGATTCTTTTCTTTGAAAAAATGTATAAGTAATATATTTTTTAATTACATTCTCCTCAATTTCGGCCACTTTACATTTTGATGCCGACCGTTCTCGAAAGACCCGTGTAGCTACGACTGCTTTAACTCCCTCTCCCATCCCCACAAAACCGTAACTCGTATTGGATATCAACGTATCAGTATATCATATATGGTTATATTTGACTAAATAAAATCAGGTACTGGTTTCAGACTTTCAGTGGAACTTGTACGGATCGTGTCTTTTTCAGATGCTGGACCTTCTTACTACAACTGGACAGCAGGTGTCCGTATTCGCGCTAACATCGGAGAGTTAGAGGAATGGGCAATCAGGAACGGTCTAGATGAAGAATTCAGTCAAATCTTTGAGAAACTCTTAACAGCGGCAGAGCTTCTGTCAACCTCTAAGTCCACTTTACTGAAGGTTTGCTTGATATCTTTGAACAATTCCTAAGTGACTAGTTGTTCTATTTTGAATTTCATGTACACTGTAGGTCTATGCGTATTTCAGCAATTGTAACGTCATAAGAAGAATTTTCATCTGCTTGAAACAAAAAATTACCAGGGTAATGGGTTGTCTGTCCGTTTCCTTTTGTGAACCTCATCCCTTATCTTCATCTCCTCTTGCACCAATGACTGCAATTTATGAAACTTTTACGAAACTATTATTACATAGACTATATGCATGTCTTATTTTCGTTTTGATTTGACACTTATTTTGTAGTTTTCCATAGCACAATGTAGACTTTGTCATTGCATTCTTTGATAATGCAACTCTTCTTAACGATTTAAAACACGGTCCAGAGTCTGCTCATATCTCTCTCCAAATTGGGAAAAGGTCGTACATTTTGGTCGTGGTTTGAAACCATGCCTTATCCCCTGTACGAAACTCTATGAAACATTTACATAATTTCATTTTTAAAAATATATGCACTACCAAGAATTACGGTTTGCCGTAATACCGGTATACAAACTGTACACTTCATGTAGGAATTGATGTATGATTTATTAATTTTATGAACTGTGTGCTCATATAGTATCTCGGGTACATTTATTTTCTAGTACGATTGGATGAACATGAGAGTGAACTATCATCCTCTGAATGAGGCACAGTTGCATCGTCTGCTACAGGGATACAGTTTGGGCGGGAAATCTCCACCATACTGCTGGAATCCACCACCAGAGGATCGACATCAAGCTCTTCAAGAGGGTAGGTCTACCGATCGAGATTTTCTGCCAAGAGATTTCTTGTATCTTATTTTGTGTACGTGATTATGCAGCATGATTTATTTAAAATTCTTGATGAAATGTTTGCAGAAGAGATCCTACTGGAGATGGCTGGTCACCCACCTTTTCTATTTCCACAAGACTATGGCGTCATAGATCTCGCTCATCCGCCGGACGATACAGAGTTTTGGACACACTTCAAAAAACTATACGCACAATATGGCATTGCCGAAGGTTGGTCATTTTTCGATCGTTAAATTAAATTCTTTTATTATTTACACAGATTATGAAAATATTTCGTCTCTTACAGATGACAGCGACATTGGATCGAATGCTTCATACACACCCCAGTTTGTAGGAAGTTTTCCGAAAGTAGAACTGCAGAAATCGTTTTTCAGTAAGCCATTAATAAAACAGAGAAACACTGGAAATAAACCATCTCCAAGACGAGTACAGTTTGCTCCAACAAATCTGGAGACAGACTCCGACGCTCAGGCGCTTGCCGATGCGCGCAGAAATTTGCGCCAATCGAACGCTAGCGTATCAAGTGATTCTGTGTTGGTTAGGGGTAGCGTTCTGGGATGTTCCGGAGGCTCTAACCAAAGATCAGTGTCGATGAATGATTCGGCAGACAGACGACTAGATGAACTGATAACAAACGGTCTTACAAATGACGCGTCCGTTCCAGTGAAAGGTGATATACAAAATATCCGATGTCTGAGCCCCCCGCCTCCCTTGCCTCCTCGTCATGTACGAGAAAACTCCCTCAATATCCCACCAGACTTGCCACCCAAACCCATCGCAGAAAACATCCAGTTAACGAAAATTTCCAATGTATCAGAACATTCCGAGTACCTTGGAGCACCCAAAAGTGGTAAACATCGCTTGACGTTTGAATGCCCAGTTGATGATGACGACGAAGGAGAATACGTGTTTCCAAAGAATCATCTGGTAAATGGAACTAAACAGATACAAGAAACTCATCAACAGCACAGACTGAGCACGCGGCAGCAGCACAATCCACCATCACCCACAGACAATAGGTGTCAGCACAGTCCTTCCTCTCCCAGAGACGACGTTTGTAAGTGTACGACACATGAGATGTATTAATAATAAATACCAGGGCCGTACAAGAGGGGGGGGACAAATTTGCTTATCTGTACTATTTAAATACAATTTTTTTTTCAAGCGCCAACGCCCTTAAGTGAATTTGTATACTACATTGTATTATTTATACCATACTTAAATAATTACAATGAGTTTTGCATGTTATAAAATATATTATTTTGAAAAATTAAGAATATAGGTGAATACCCTGGTACATAATCTCAGTATTTAATTTTATTTCCAGTTTCTGATACAAGTGATAACCAGGATGTATCCCCCCGCTCAACCAGTAACCCTGTATTTGCTGTTAGTATTGCCAAAGGCAGCAGTGGGCTGGGTCTGGGGTTGATCGATGGATTGGTGAGTACAATGTAGGCTGAATATGGCAGATAATATGCCAGATAAGATGAATGGTGAAAGTTCTTCTCATTCTCAATTGAATAATTACACTACAAAATCTGTAAAGTAAGAAGGAAATGAAAGTTTACATCAATTCTGACTGAGTTTTAGTTTTAAAAAGATCCATTGGTACACCATGTCTCCTTCAGTGAAGCAAACAGAGACCAGCTGTCATGTGAACATTGTAAAGACTTGTTAGAAAGATTCTAGATATTTTTACTAATATAAGTAGACCCCACTTCGTATGGCGGGGATCTACATTAAATGTGTACTATTTTCAGTATACTCCACTCCGTATGGCGGGGATCTACATCAGAAAGATTCTGCCTGGTAGTCCTGCAGAGGAACAAGGGCAGATAACGGTGGGAGATCGACTCCTGTGTGTGAATGGCAAGAGTATTGTCGGAGCAGACTATCAAAGGTACGCAAGATTTCTTACACCTGGTGTATTTCCTAAACTATTTGTGAAATTCTGTTTCAAAAAAAATACATGTAACTACACTTTATAATTGTCCAGCTGGAGAAATGACAAAATGGGTATACTTAATCTCTCAATTTATTTCACTCCATTATTCTAGTTTTTTTTACTTGTATTTAATTATGATTTGCATAGGTTAGTTAAGAAACTTCCTGTTCTCTTTCAGTGCTATGAGACTGATAAGAACATCTGGTGAAAACCTCACACTTCTTATAGCCAAAGGAAATGATGCCATAGCTGCTAAAGTGACTTCAACAAACTGTTGAGACCTGAATGAAAAGTGCTTCCCAACCATAGTTAATATACAGAGTCTGTAATGGGAGACATTTCCTGTTAACTGCCAAAAAATGTGTACAATTGAACACTACCTCATATTATTTCAAAGTATTTATTTCTATCATAAACTTGGACAAAGATATTTGCTCAAGAATGAAGCTTCTGCATCTCTTGTATTCTTTGGTGTTTTATAATTAGCATACATGTAATTTTAAATTATGGATGTCTAGAAATAGAACAAATGTATTAAAGTATTTAAACCAGGATTCATAGATGTTATTTTTAATTATTTATGTCTAGAAATAGAATAAATGTATTAAATTATCAAAATTAGGTTTGGGAATGCAAACAAATGTAAAGTTAACTGACTAGTCAATATGCTGGTGTTCTTGCCACAGTATTTTGACTTTGTTTATCCATTGTTGTCCTAGATTTGATTGTACAAACATGAAGGCACTACAAGACATCACAAACATCCATGACACTATCAGCATATAATCTGTTGTTTCTGTGGCAACACTCTGTAAAGGTCCTACATAATCCTGTGGCATAACTGTCACAGTGGTATTAGGTTCAAAACCTGTAAAAACAAATTAAACAGGGAATACTTTAGACTTCTAAAATATGATTCCTTATCCTTTATCACGATTACAAAACAGGAAGTTTTCTACTTTTATAGAAATAAATGCTCACCTGTTGCATTTTTTACAAAAGATACCAAGTTTTCAAAAGATTTTTCTGTGCTGTTGAATCTCATCATTGCTCTGGACTGGTGAAACAGAAGAATGTTTGGTACAGAGACAGTTCCAAACTTGGCATTTAAACTGAAATATAGAATTGTAAACACAAATACAAATCTTCCCTACGAAAAATGTCAATATAAACCTTTTAATCAAGTAGTGATGTGACCCTTTTCTGCACAGATGAAGTATATCAGCACAAGTCTATTAGTAAAGCATTAAAACAAAGGAATTGAATATTGTGTCATTATACTTACTTGCTAAACTGAGCAGCATCTACTGCAATAATGTTTAGTTGAGGATACACTCTTGCCAAAGCATTGAAACTTGGAGCCATGTTTGAACAGAATCTACAGTACGGCACAAAAAATAATACAAGAACACAGTCTCCCTCAGTTTCATTCTTATCAAAACTCAAAATAGAAAGTAACTGAGTATTATTAACAATTGTAACTGATGCATTTTCTGTTGTATAATTTCTGCCAATGCAGGTAAACTTGCTCTTTTTATCCGTTTTATTTTTTACCTCTGCAGTCAGTGGAACTGATATATTTGTGGCATTGTTTGACACAGACTCGGTGACATTCACTTCACTTACTACTTTACTCTCAGACTTAGAGCCACCATCAGCCTTTTCTAGTTCTTCCAGGACCGGGCTCACTAAACTTTTCACAAAGTTTTTAAATGAAAAGAAACTTTGACTAGTTTCCTCCCCTGTGCTGGGGCTATTAACAATTTCCTTCACATCATCATCTCTCTCTCCCTGTGGCACATCATTCTTTTGTTTTTCATCTGGAATTTCCTTCATATCAGGTTTATCCTCACTTGTTAACTTATCATTTTGGACTTCCTTTTCTGTATGCTCCTCTCTTTCCTCTTCCTTTTTGTCTGATCGTATATTGTGTATTTCTTCTCCATTTGTATCATCAACAACTCGCCTTTCAAGTCGATTTTTGCCTTGATTTTGTTTATCAATTTCCACGTCAGATTTTTCTCCATTCCTTTTGGGTAAGTCTTCTGTAGCCAGAATTGTTGAAAACACAAGACATCCAAGGAGAACTGAAAAAGTTAATTTAAATGAACTGAAAAGGTTAAAATAAATTAACATGTCATTTTTAAAAGTATTTAAGGCTAATGTAAGTTTTTTTCTATGTCTAGCATCTGTTTCCATTACTTAGGGCATCCAATTTCAGTAGTTCATGGGGAAAAACTGACTGGGGCCATGAGAGATGCATGAAATATTCAAAAATTCATTGTGAAATTAATCATTCAATGTCTTAATGACTTTAAGGTAAAAGCATTAAAAAATCTTAAATGATAAATAGATCACATTTGAAATGCATATATCTCGAATTTCCTCTGGTCCTTCTCTTTGTTATATCATTTAATAAAACTAAACTGAGCGTATATGTTCTATATTTTATATATTTTACCAACCTGTTAATTTATATTCTTTGAGGTACATCGCAATCTATTAATTACCGCATCATGCTCGAGCAAATAAATACATTTTATGTCTTCTTGCTCCTGTGTTGTGGAGGTTCCCAAATGACCATTTCCGGATTAACATACTTTAATAGATTGTACCTAAAATAATTCACGTCCTCAAATAAATCAATATTACTACAACTTACACAATCTGTCATAATATAAATGAAGTTTAATAAAATACATAGTCCGGTCTATGTACAACAGAAAAAGTAATATCTCAATGATTTAATCACTTGTTATTTATTACATTGTTTGTGCAATCCTTAATAGTGAACTGAATATAGAGACAGGTGGGGGGGGGGGGGGGCATTTTTTTTAAAATTAACATTTCAAATCAACTGTCACTTACCAATATTATTAGCTATGACATTTTAATGAGAATTGTACTCACTACAGACACCTGACGTTAGTTTTTTTTCTTTTGATAAAAAAATATACATAAGCCCCCTACCTATAATATAATCACCCCTTAATTGTTTATTATTAGGACGGGGGTATATATTTTATTAGTTCGAGAAAAAACTTAACGTAATGGTATCTGTGGTACTTACTGTATAAATTTAACTAACACCAGGATAAATAAGATATTGTGAGCTACAAAAACTTGTTTCTGACCCCTTTCCGTTAATATAATTAAACAATAAAGTATGTTCAAATTAAATAAGGTGTCTGGTTTTGTTTCAACGTTTTAATACTGTTTGATAAAAATTTCAAAACATGTCACGGCTAAGGAGCGTTCCCTGTCGTTGAATATTCTTACAAATTACAAAATATATTTATTTTTAAAGGGTATGTGAATGATGAAGTCCAATTAATAAATCTAAAAGCAAAGTCTAGAATAGTGATACATAATTCATGGTAAAAAAAAATGTAGACAATTGACAAATAATTTCTACGGTAGTGAAGCATTTATTTAATTATTGTGCTGTCTCGATAGTCATTTCCATGTACATATATAGTCAACAGTTTTTGTTGAGGAATATATGTTAAATTTTATCTATTTTATCAACTGTGTCTGAAGAAAGACATTTTCTCTACCTTGAGATCAGAAATTCCATCTCGCCCTTAATTCTATTTATATGATATATTTTTATTCGACTGTCGTTTCATTATTCCATCGACGGTCCATTCGACCTTTGATCTAATACATGTAGTCGACTATTCATACACAGATATTAATTTTGTTAAGTCTGATAGTTTGAAATATATATCGTTTTCACATAATTCATCACATTACTTATTATTTGCATGTATATGCATTTATTTACCTGCTTTATTGGTGTTTTATGTGTCTGTATGCTAATAAGAGACGAGTTTTATTTTGATATTTCATTTATTACATATAAAATATTGTATGCACATACAACAATACATAAGAACATGTTCAACATAGAGCACTTTTAGATAATGTGTAAATGATAAACATAGCTAAATATCTAATTTTAAAATAGATTCAGCACTGTTTTAAATAAACATGGGTAGATCATTCACAAACACCATCGGAAGTCACTCTCATGTTCCAAAAAGTCCGCCAAGATAGAACACTCAGTCTTCTGGCGCTTAGCTTCCGTCGACTCTTCATCACTTGTTGAATGTTTGCGTTTTCTTGTACCAAAGTCATCTAGAGGCACGTCACAGATAGTCAAGAAAAAGTCCTTCAGCACATCGTCGGTTTTGAACACATCTGGGAAGAACTGTTCATCCATGAGGTCACGTGGTTTAGGATCAGTGGATGATGTGGAAAATGGTGACGTCTTCGGTGTTTCTGTTAGAAAGTCTGGACTCTGTGAATCTGTTTCCTCACATAAGAATTCTTTTGAAGTCATATCACAATAGACAAAAGCAGAGTTTACCAAGGGTGATGACGGATAAAAACACGTGTTCGATGAATCTTCGCTGTCTGATGAAACTTCATCCAGAGTGTCGATAAGGCTGTACAGATCGTGGTCAGCTACAGGAGTTATGATGTCTGGAGATGTACAAGTCTGTTCACATGGACAGTTGGTAGGTGAATGAACCAATAGCATCGGTTGACCATTGTCGATACCAGGGAAGCGAGATCGGTCAATCTCGTATTCCAAGCTGGTATCTATGTAGAGAGGTTGCAAGGTTTCTTCTGTCTTCATTTTCCTGAAGTTACATGGAACTGAATGACAGGGATTCCCTCGGCTCTCATTTATATTTTTCGTTGTTCAAACAGAAAATGTAAACAACCAATGAAAATTCAGGGAAAGCACTTCTCCTCATTGTGCTAATTATGGCTTTGGCCAATTACAGATTTTTCTTGGATCGCAACAATTAAGCACAGGCTTGGGCTATTACAGAAATCGAAATTACTTTGATGTATATTAAAGTGATCCGAAAATTTTAACCAAGCTAGATTAAATGGTTTTTAATTTTGCGTGTTATTTTAGATAATTTTAGATGGGGATACTCTTAATTAAACTAGAAAGTAAAGAAAACATACTTTTGGAACCATTCGCTTGGAGATGTTCTTTAGGATCTCTATTTACATCTTAGGAGACAAAACTGTTAATGAACTAAATAAATCATACATTATTTGTCGTTAGTTATAAATGAATATACTTAAATTTTGCACAATCTATTTTCAAAATAAAATAATTAAATAAGCAATTGTATCATTTATACTCTTGCAATTTAATATTGCACACGGATTTAATTTTATAATAAGAAATAATAAAAATATATGTGTGAAAGGGTGAGTGTGCGTGTGTATGGTGTGTTCAGCTACTATCTCTTTGTTTATTATGAGAAAAATATAAATTTAAAAAAAATATATGTTTGATACAGGATACAGAGAAAACCAATGTTTAGTCCAGTAAAACATAATAAGTTAAAAAGGAATTATTAATAGATGATGAAAGTGTATCTCACACAAGAATCTTTTATTTCAAAAATTGTATGCAATTAATTCAAAATCTTAATACATTTTGTGAAAATTACCAGTATATTATGTAGTATGATTTGTGTGTTTGTGCGTGAGGGGGGTGGGGTCACTGATGGGTGAGGGGAACGGTTTTCAAAGAATCACCATAGCAGAAAACTGATATACCTACTATATAAAGTAGAATTGTCTACATGTTATATGGTTGACATCGTTTTTCAGTATATGAAATTAGAGATATTTCACTATGTACTTTTGTTAATTTTAAGATAGTACCAATTTTTTAAGATTTCATATAAAATAAATTATGAATGTATGAAATTTAAAAATACATGTTTACAAGATGATTGACTTCCAAGAATTCTCTATCTATGACTCGTTGCTTTAACAGTTTAAAGAGTTTGATATTACTAAAGTATGTACGTCACATAAATTTCCGACGAATATACTTGACAGTTTTCTGGGAGAATGGAGAGGATGATACATCTTCACTTTGGGCACACATCCGTCTGTAGGTCTTGTCACAAGGAATATACAAGGAATACAACTGTGAAATATGAAAGCCCCATTACTACCGGTTTAGAAGATATTGTGAATGTTAAAGGTTATTTTTGAAAGGGTCAAACTCTGAATGTCAAGGTCAAATGTTTTTTATAACGATTGAAGGTCTTGTCACAACGAATTTTTTATAAAAGTGGGTCAAACTCCTAGGTCAAGGTCGCAAGGTCAAATTTGATGGTATCCGAAGAAAGGACTTAATTGTCACAAGGAATATTCACCCGTAAAATATGACTAGCTCACCCACTCAAAAGTTATTTCCAAGGTTAAAATTCAAACAGACAGACGGGCGGACAGGGCAAAAACTAAACTATATATCCCGAATCTTCGATTACGGGGGCATAAAAATCTATAAAGTAAATTCACATATTTCTTAATGTGAATTTAAAAAAAAAAGGGCAATGCGAATAATAAATGTACGTTTTAATATTGAAACGGGAAATTTGCATATCTATCCAGTCGATACACCTCGGATTTTTAAATTCAACTTCGATGACAATGCTGAAGATGTTCCGACTAAATATGTTTATCACTGACGCATTATTACTAGCAACAACAGTATCGTTTCCCCTGATTGGCTGAATAACCTCAGTTCATGACCAAAACCAATCGGAGAGCACTGTGTAGCATTCATTGGGTTGCCCAGTCCTCGTGGTTCGAATATTGACGCCGGCTCCTGTCATGTCTGCCAACATGCAGCAAAATAATTATTCCTACCTCTTTGCATTTGAAAAACAGTATGACGAATCAAAATTTTTCAAGTACATGGTCAGACATTGGGCCGACAGTTTTATCTATGCGTTCGTTTACATCATCCTGGTTTTCGGAGGAAAGCGGTACATGGAGAAACGCCCAAGTTATGGTTTACGACCCTGGCTTGCTCTGTGGAGTGGTATTTTGGCCATTTTCAGTGTCTTTGGTGCCGCTAGAACCCTCCCAGAACTTATAATGGCAGTTAAAGAACACAGTTTGGAGTATTCTATATGTGTACCTTCATACCTAGAAAATGCTGCAGCTGTGTGGACATTCTTATTCACTGTGTCTAAAGTATACGAGCTTGGTGACACTATGTTTATTGTCCTTAGAAAGCAGCCTCTTATTTTTCTTCATTGGTACCACCATGTTACTGTTCTAATCTATTCATGGTACAGTTACCCCGAGAGAACCGCTGTGGGAAGGTGGTTTATGACAATGAATTACTTGGTACATTCCATCATGTACTCTTATTATGCACTGAGAGCCATGCGATTCAGCTTTCCTAAATGGATATCCATGTTCATCACATTTTTGCAACTTTTACAAATGGTCATAGGATGTCTTGTGAATGTATGGGCATACCAAGTCAAAAATGAGGGAAGGTATTGCAACGTATCATATGAAAACATCAAATACTCCTTGATTATGTATGCAAGTTATTTCTTTTTGTTCGCACATTTCTTCTATTCTGCATACATCTCTGGTAAACCAAGGGCATCGAAACCTGTGAAGAAAGACTAATTGTTTTTCCTCATCATTTTATTTGTAATGTGCACAAAAATGCAATCGTTGACATTGACTTTAAATATTTGAATTCTCCTTCCATCGTTGAACAAGAAATCCATGCATAAAATCAGTTGTTGGACTTGTTACCTGCACCACTGGACTTCGATTTGGTGGCATCTAGATAGAATTAATCTGAAGGTGAAAATCATTTATCTCATGAAAAAATTGAATGCATAAAACTTAAATGACACATGTTCAGACAGTTTTGTCAATTGTTATGTTTGGTTTTTTTTTTTTGTATTTACATACGATTTAATGTTTATTGATATTTGTTAGGCAATTTCTTACTAGGGTAAATTCAAAGTTTATACAATGTTTTCTGGTATTTACTTAATACTTATAATACATTTTCTTCACCTTTTTATGTTTTGAAAACAATAAGTGCTGATAGATGTAGCTTTTTAACATATGAAATTGATGTAAATTTTATATTTGTTCTTTTTAAATTGGTGCATTATTATTTTATATTTTATTGATGTGTTTTAAAGTACAAACCAATTTTTATACACACACATGCTGATATTGGAATATCTTTAACTTAGTGATAACTTTCTTAGGTTATAAAAGGTGAAATTGTTTTTTTCTTTTTGTAAAGTATTTGTCCTTTTCATTTTATCAAGGTCTTTTCTTTTGTTTAAATACTACGTTTGTTAGTTGTACAATGTACATTACTGCTAATCAGAGATGACCTACTTTTGTTATCAGTTCAAATTTTGGGTCAAATTAAGGTGCATCCCAAGGTAAAAGAAGTGTTTTATTTGATCCATGCTGTGAAAACTGTGAAAATATTGAAAGTGTACAAAATTCACTTAGAGGTTTGAATGGTCATTTACTAAACTTGACCCAATTTTCTTAATCTGCATTCTTCGAGAAAGGTTTTATGAAAGGTAACTAGTTCTGGGATATTGCAATAACCATGATAACCTGAATTTGAACACTAAAGTATGTTAAATACAGTTGTAGATGCATGTACTTCAATTTTAACACAAGCAAGACAAGGACATATTTTCACTGTACGTTACACATGTATACCACATGTAGTTCAAGATTAAACCTGTTGACATAACCTTTGTCTGGTATTCAGTGTACTGTTAAGTTTAAGATTGGAGTAATCAGCTTATGATTGTACCACCAGTAGTCATTTAAAAAAATACCTTTTATGTTGTTTAGGACTGGAGAAATAGTATTTCATAATTCAAAAGAAGAGTTTCTCAGAATGAAAGTTTTAATATTGTGTTAAAATTTTTTATTAACGTTAAGATTTTTAGCACTAAAATACTATAGATCCATCAATTTTTGGGGGGATAAAATTTCATTGATTTGTCTTCTAAAGCAGTTTCATCTGTGACTTGGCATTAAATTTCGTTGTTATGAAAGTTACCTTACTCAGTATATAGGCTCATAAAAAAAAAAAATGAGCGGAATTCAATTTCATCGACAATTGTTAACAATTGAATTTACGAAATTAAATCCCCAATGAATATTTCTGTTTTTACAGTATACACTAAAAAAATAATAATTGAGTGATCTGATAGAACATAACTTTATTATATTCATTAAAGTACAAGATAAGAATTAACTTTCAAAGTCTCTCTGTTTTTGCAATGAAACTAAATCATGTTTGTGGTAAGCAACAAATCAATCAGTTTGTTTTCAATGTTTGAAGTGTAGTCTTCTTACAGTATACATGTCTGCTTAAATCAGTTTAGCTGTCTTCCATTTCACCTTCACAATGCTGCATTATGTAAATTCTAGCTGATATTCTTTCAAAATGATGTTTTAGAGTAGTGCTATGATAATTCGTTTTAAAGCAATAAGTTGAAACAAATACCATATCTTACTGTCATATATCTGTATAGAGTCTGAAAGAATTCCCTTGTATCTTTTTATGTGATTTAGGTTGTGGGATTTTTATCCCTGTGAAATGTAATTTTTTTGTAAATGATGGAATAAGCCAAAGAAAATTCCCAAGCAGAACATTATGTGACACATGAAAGCAAGAAAAGTACTTAGGTTAATATACAGTTGAACTTATTTATCTTGGACTCAGACATCTTTAATTACTAGATACTAGTACATGTCAAAGTGAGTTTAGAGTCCCAAACACTATGATAGCAGCAAAAATAGTCTAATTATTTGGAGAAAGATGAATGTTCTCAACTTAACTTTAGACAGAGAAAAGCATTTCCTAGAAGTGAATAATGAAAAAATGGCATTTGAATTTTGGTAAACATAATTTTTTTTGGCTTATTCCTATTCATTCTATGAATAATGAAATCCATAAAAATATTGTATTTGAATATAAGTTCAGGAAAATCCATTCATGCTGGTAAAATTTATGGATTGTATTAAATGTGTATTCAGTTTTATAAACGATTATATATTAAAAATGGGTACAGTCAGAGATGTGCTATGCATGATGTATGTTTTCTTATGTAACCAGTGTCAAGAGATGGATAACCCTATCGCTCTTTGAGATGTTGTTAAATGTTATAACTTTTTACCTTGACCTATTGTATTGTCACATATCACAGTCCTAGTCTACAAAGTATTGCAGCATATAAATTGCTTCACCCACAGAATCCCTTTATGACGATATTGGTGTCAAATTTACAATGCTATCTTAGTATAAATGTAAACATGTGATAATGTATGTTTAGTCAAGAGTGATGTACTTTAGTCTAAAACTTGTATTTGAATAACTGACATTTTCGTGCAAGTGTACATTATTTGCCTTAAATGTTGCAGTGATTGACATTCATGTTGAAATTATGTGAACATCAAAATCTGATGTTCTGTGGGTGTATGCAAAAATCTGATATAAGCACATGCTTTTTATTTATATGATTTAAAATGCAAGTAAATCCACTAAATATCATTTTGTGATTTTTTTTCTTTCACATAAGCTACGTTTTATCGAGTGAAGAACTTGTATTGCCATTGTGAGGAAAAATTCATTTAAAATTTAACTAATCAATACCTGGGTATATATGGATTTAACCATTGACTGTCCAAACACTAAGGTGTACTCAGTACCTTTTACATACCACTCCTATCTTAGTAGACTTTAACCCTCCATTGGATCATATGTATCATTTAGGAGTCATTAACATGTCCATATCTGTTAAGGCAATATCACACATTTATTTAAATAGGTCAGGGATATATATTGGTCCAGTTTGGAAGAAGTTATTACCCCCCCCCCCTCTCTTTCCACACTGTTTGGCTACTTTGGGTGGTTCTGCCGTCCACCGGAATACTGTCTTTGGGGGCACTGCTTCTGACTATCCTAACATTGTGTTTGATTTATAGGACATAACCAAACACCACCATGACAGTCCTTTCAAGGTCAGTGTTTCTAAGTCCGCTCTTGAAGCAGGGACCCCTGACGTTTTGAGGATGTGTCTTGTTTATACGTACATGTATACAGAAGGAATGTTACAGCATTATTTACATCGGCCTTTATGGACTGGTGGGAAGATAAGTGTATTCAGCTGCATGAACTTCTCTACTTCAAATTATTTTTTCGTTAAACAATATTTACTATCAATCAATATTATGTTTTGGCTCATGGGGAAAAAGTCAATTTGTTAGTTTTCTATGTACTTGGACATACATTATGTATAATTTATGAATGAGCGTATGCAGCATTAATAGAACTCTTGACATAGTCAGAAGGGATCCCAGTTAGGGTTATGTTTAAGGAACGCTACAACTTTATAAGAAAATATTTAGAATAAAATATACTGCATACATGTAAGCAAGGTGATGTGGAGTATAAAATAAAAAAATCTATAACAAACTGTAATCAAGCTCAAAAGTCTATTGAAATAATGCATCTTTGGAGAAATGCAAACATGAGCTAATTACGTTAGAGGTGGTATCAGATGCCATGGAGGAGTAAGCATCCCTTGTCGACCGGTTATACATGTATTCGTCATGTGGTCCTTGTACTAATAACTTGTATGAAACAAGAGACTTGAGGATGGGTTGTATTTGCTGAAATGGTCATCAACCATTGAATTTGCGAAATGTTGACTTTAAACGAGTCTGTTCATAGGTAATGTGTATGTATGTAACATTTCGATAAAAATAAAATCGTTATTGTATTACATTATAGTGTAAACTTTATAACGCGAAAGTTAAGCGTTTATTCGCGAAAGTTACGCGTTAATTCGCTAAAGTTTCGTGTTATAACGCGAAAGTTACGCGTTTATTCGCGGAAGTTTCGCGTTATAACGCGAAAGTTGCGCCGCGGCGTTTATTCGCGAAAAATTTAATTTTTTTTACGTACGAAACTGAGCTCATTGGGCTTTCGTACTTCAAGTTGTTACTTGAAAGATTTTGTTATAAAAGGCGAGGGAAATTTGTACACTGTACATGATACGAAATGGTGTTTAACTTTGCCACTGGGGACTATATCACCAGGGCATGTAATGTGATTGTAAGGTTCCTAATCCAATAGCAGAAAGTCAGGTTCGGCCGGGGTTATAGTCTATTAGTTAATAACATGATAGCCTTGGGTATGATGGTGACTTGTCGATCTCTGGAATCATTAATTGCAGGATGAATGACAAAATAAAAGGTTAAACTGGGTTGAAGAAAAACTGGATGTTATCTATCCTAGATAAAAGGAAAGGTATTTGTTAAGATTCTGAACTGATTTTAGATAAACTATATATATAGACGCAAGATGGACAAGGACGCTCACCAGAGTTATTTAATTAAAAAACAAGAGTTCTTTTTGACATTAATAGACTGTATAGCAGCAAAATGTCAAAGTCAGCTTTTCGAATATAGGTCAAATTCCAATTGAAAAATCAAAAGTTCAAAAATATTGATTCCCAAGGAATGAGCTTGATGTGAAATCATAGGTTTACCAAATATTCAGTTAAGGATTCGTAAAAAGTGGGCCACACATGTCAGTTTCACAAGGACAAAAAGTCAAGCATCTCGGTCAAGAGATCAAAAATGTCAGAAAAGATGGATATTATCTGGTAAATATGAAAGTACAAATACCATCCATTCAGAAGTTATGGCCAAGATTATTTTTTTTTAAAGTGGGTAAAACCCCAAAGTCAAAATTAAAGATACGCTGGGAAGACCTTGTCACATACAAAATGTATTTAACCCTAGCACCAAATGCTTAAAGGTTACGAAGGTTAACTTTTTTTTGTCAAAAAAGTAAGCTGAACTTTGAAAACAAGGTCAAAAATATTTAAACCCACGGAAATGACTTTTTGCAATAAATACACGTTGGAATTTGAAAATCCTAGCCACTGATAATTGTTCAGAATTTATGGTCAAGGTTAAGAAAGTATTTATATATAATATTTTTACAAGGGAATAAAACTTTTTAAAATAATTTGTATTAACCTGAAACTGTGATTATGTATATATATGTCAAATTATTTTATTCAGGCTAGGAAAATTATGTAATCCTCAATTTTATTTTTTATTTTTGTCTATGCTGTCTTGTCAATTAAATTATAATCAACTTGTACCATCTTAGGACCCCATTGGAAATAAGCATGTTTTATATATTGCTTTCATGGGTTATCCTAGGCAAAGATTGATTAAAAAGATGTTTATTTGTGTTGTATGTGATAAGATCTGGTTCTGAGATCTGTATAATCCTGTGATATTGATAACTGTGATATTACCTGGAGTGATATTGTTTTAATGTGATAGCTACATGTATGTGCTAGAATAAGGATCCCTAATTAATTTTTGAATGTAATTTGTGTTATGATTTGTAATGAATTTGACTCTTTGCCTGAATAAACATAATAATAATAATAATAAAGGTGATTTTTTTTTTTTGCAAAAATGGGTTAAAAGTTAAACTCCATGTCAAGGCGGATAGAGCAAAAACTACATGTTTGCATGAACAGATTAATGCACCCAAGTCTTCGATAACGGAGGCATAGAAATAATGGTACAAAAAAAATCCGGTTTTTTTTTTTTGGAAAAGGGACAAGAGAAAAGCATAGCCTAGTACCCGAGGCCTTCCGAGTGCTTGGCAAGCCTCGGGTATTAGACTAAAGAAAAGGAGGGGTACTAGAATTTTTTCGGATCAAATCAGGTACCACTTCCGAGCTGGATTGAATTACTGTTAAAGAAGATGGGGAACAAGGCGGGCAGAATGTCTATAGCGTCGAATATTAAGAAACCATATTCAATGTGTGAAATGAGTATTAAAATTAACTTCTCATTATTAAAATTTTTGAAATTATGAGACTTATATAACTTTTTCTAAGAGATAAAAATATCGTAAAATTTTTTTCTGTCATAAAAATATAAGATGATATTCGTGGGATTCGAACCCTAGCAATAAAAATCCGACGTATCTTACTGTTTTGAGACTAAGGCGCTTACCACTATTCTACATGTCTCATGATGGTTTTGGGAATTTAATTCAAGTATTTTTTTTTTCTTGTTAAAGTATGAGAAAATGATCATTTTTGTTCTTTTTAGTGTGTGTATGCTTTTTCACAGGCAAATATTTTCAGTCTTTGTGAGATTTTTTCAAATTGTAGAGATTTTTACATTAAGTATACTTTGATTTTAGACGAAATATCGAATAAAACTTGGATTTATTTTTTAAATTTTTCACTTCATATCTGTCGCACTAAAGGCACTTCTTCCGCCTTACCCCCCCCCCCCTCCCTCCCCCATCTTCTTACATATTTTCGTGGGGTCAAATTTTCGTGGTTTGAGTAATAACTCTTGGTTCATGGGGGTTTGATTTCGTGGATGACGAATTGTTGACTATAGTTAACTATAGTTTACTATAGTCAACTATGGAAAATCAAAGTGTCAAAATTTTCGCCAAAGTTTTTCAAAGTGTCAAAGTTTTCGCCAAAGTTTTTCAAAGTGTCAAAGTTTTCGATAAAGTTTTTCGAAGTATCAAAGTTTTCGATAAAGTTTTTCAAAGTGTCAAAGTTTTCGATAAACTTTTTTTAAAGTGTCAAAATTTGTCAAAGTATCAAAGTTTTCAATGAAGTTTTTCAAAGTGTCCAAGTTTTTGATAAAATTTTTCAAAGTGTCAAAGTTTTCGATAAAGTTTTCCAAAGTGTTAAAGATTTTGATCAAGTTATTCAAGGTGTCAAAGTTTTCGATAAAGTTTGTTAAAGTAGCAATTTCTTCACCAAATATTATCAAAGTTTCAAAGTTTTCGATAAAGTTTTTGAAAGTGTCAAAGTTTTCGATAGAGTTTCTGTAAGTGTCAAAGTTTTCCATAAAGTTTTTCAAAGTGTCAAAGTTCTCGATAAAGTTTTTCAAAGTGTCCAAGTCTTCGATAAAGTTTTTCAAAGAATCAAAGTTTTCGTTTTTCAAAGTGTCAAAGTTTTCGCCAAAGTTTTTCAAAGTGTCAAAGTTTTCGCCAAAGTTTTTCAAAGTGTCAAAGTTTTCGCCAAAGGTTTTCAAAGTACCAAAGTTTCCGCCGAAGTTTTTCAAAGTGTCAAAGTTTTCGATAAAGTTTTTCAAAGTTTTCGATAAAGTTTTTCAAAGTGTCAAAGTTATCACTATAGTAAATCAAAGTTTTCAAAGTTGTAAAGTATAGTTAACTATAGTATTTTTTGTTAGGGATGTAACATTTTACAATTCACGGTGGACATGAATTTGAAGGGTATTTTCATACCTCGAAAACAACGAAAAATACCCCATGAAAATTTGTATTTCAAAGTAAATGGGTGTAAAATGTAGACAGGGATCGAGAGTTAACGCCCTTCCCATCAAGAGATAAAATTGTTTATATGAAGTTTTAAAACAACTTAATAATTTTTGATAAACCGCACATATTAAAATGGAAATATATACTAAGACAACATTATGTTTTTAACCAATCGCTCTGTAGAATATTCCAAATCTTTATCCTTGATTTTGCATTTGGTTCAAGAATTTGATGGATAAGTTCTAGACATCGAGATGAAATCCTTTCTTTCACTGTGTCGGGGATGGAAATGCCTTCAGAAACCTGTTTTTTCAGCAGTTCTTTGATATTCCTATCATCAAAAGGCATTTTCCCACAGATCATAATGAAAAGAATGACCCCTAAACTCCATATATCATTAGTTCTTGGGTCATAAGGCAATCCACGCAGAAGTTCCGGGGAAGCATACGCCCTGCTGCCGCAGTATGTCTGGCACATGACAGCATTACGCTGCTGATCCAGATACAAACGAGAAAAGCCAAAGTCAGAAACAGTTACTCTTTTGTCTCGCATAATTAAAATATTTTCACATTTTAAATCACGATGTGTTATTCCGAGATCATGCAAGTATTTTACAGCTTCTGTCATTTCTCTAAACATTCGCTTAGCATCCTCTTCTGATAAAGAGCCGCACGTATTAATTAACTGCAGTAAATCGCCTTTCCCAGCGTAGTCCATCATAATGTAAACGGATTCACCTTGATACAGTACATCATGAGTGAATATAATATTCGGATGATTTACAAGAGTTGAAATTTCCAGTTCCCTAGGCAAAAACTTTGTAACATACTTTTTCTTCGCATTTCTTTTGTTAATCATTTTTACAGCCAAAATTTCCCCGTCTCTTGTTCTTTCAGCAATTCTTACACTGGAATAGGTTCCTTCGCCAATCTTTGGACCTAGTCTGTAACCATTTGAAGACAGAAAATCCGCTAATCGCAGAAACTCGCGGGAAGTCAACGTCTCTTTAACATTCATCTTTCTTGAATTTGTCTATTGTGACGTCATAATAGTACATACACATGTACAAACAAAAATAATGGGTAAAAAAAAATCCGCATAGCTTACAGAAATTCATTCGATCAATGCACATCATTAAAGCAATTTTGTTTTCATTAATTATTTATTCTAGATAGACATCTGGCCAGTGCATATAACCTTTCTTGTAAAAACATGTGAAGGAATTTTTTTTACAAAACTGTCTGAAAGAATATTGACGATGAAAAATTTTTTTAAACTGTATGATAATTAATTAAATTGGAAGATGTGCTACAGAGCGTTGTTATAGTAATGAAATAAATCCCAAGCTTCCACCACCCGCCTGGCATTGGGTGCTTTATTGATTATATTGGTGGCGATGGGATGCTCATTCTAAACAACCCCAAATCCTGAAACACTACAGTTAGGAACTAATTACAATCAACAGGGCAGTAAAACTGAGATTTAGGAGGATTATATGGGTGGATCAAAGGTTTTAAAAAAGATTTACCTTAGCTAGTTGTTAAACAGTTGTAAAACAGTGCGCATAATATCTTTGATTTAGATTAAAATTTTTCTGATTTGTCTGAGGTTTCTTTCTAGAAACAATCTTGATATTTCTTATTCCTGTGAGTGTAAGGGTGCTTAGATAAAAATTATATCTGTAACTATCTAACATAATGTCGAGTAGGAGGGGGTGTATTTACTTATATTTATTTATATAGATAACTTTTTGCGATTTTTTATTGCAAGATTTTGAAAAGTTTTTGACACTTTTCCACCATACTGCAACAAAAAAATTAGGGACAAGTGGCCTTTGAATGAAAAAAATATTCGTGAACACTAGAAAAAGGAAAGAAGGAGGATCCCCCCTTCGATCTATACGTATGTTAATTAAAAGAAAGAAGGGAATCTTATCCCCAATAACTCTTTTTAAAATTATATTAAGGTAGTCCGATCCTCAGTTTATAAGATTAGCAGTAAAGTAATCAAAAATATTCATAAAAGTATCTCTGAATCCACAAAGTTATGTAAATTTATCTACAGTATTTCTTTAAAATCAAAGATTAAAGTTAATCATATTATAAAGGGAAAATTGTAAAATCTCCAATATTTTTGCAGAAAAAGCGAATTGAAATATCAACAATGCATTTTCTAATTGCAAATTGATCAACAAATATATTTTAGGTTAAAAAACTATAGGTATCCTGGCATTCAGAGAAATTGTCATGATTTTTATACTTATTTGGTATTTTTTGTCTTCTATTTCCGTCATGTACTCTAATACATAGTGTAAACTTTTACACCTTTTCTAAGACTTCCAAAAACCTTGAATCTTATAAAGATGAATAAAATGAAAATTGTTGCATGAAAAAATTCGTTTTCAAGCTTCATTTTGATGCATTTCAAATTAAATATTAATTTTTTGAGTTATCCTTCCTTGCTGAGGATCGGATATCCTTAATGGATCTTTTTTTACGTCGAAACAATGGTATGGAATTAGGAAAAGGGTCAAGAGAGAGATCTAAAATAGATTGCTGCCCAGTGTCATTCACTTCTGTGAATAAAGTATATATTGTAATTGTTTAAAATATATAAAATATGGAAATTTTAAAATATTACTGCATGTACTGGGACCAAAGGGAAAGAATACATCATTTATCATCAACAGAGGCTCCAGAGGAGGAAAGGTAACACTGGTAAATGATTAAACAAACAACCTAATAGATGATTAGGCCTAAAAAAAATAAATTTTTGATTACGCCATTCAAGAATCAAGAAGACCCAAAGATATAATTAAATCATATTCTAAACTAAGTATAAAAACGAATCAAAAACGATTAAACATTCATTGAAATAAATTGAGTTTTTAATGCATGGAAGAATTTAACGATGTAATGTACAAGTACAAGGGTTTTATGCCGTGCAGATTTGTTTAAAAAAAAAAACCAAACACACACACTATATGATCGGGATCGTTGTTCGTTGAATTCTACAAACGACAATACGCATGCGTCAAATAGTTTAGCTTTCTTCGCAACGGAGAGGAATACCTCAAGTTTTTTTGCAGGCAGAATACACAACCATGTCGTACAGAGATTTGAGAAGTATGTCAGTTATAAATATTTGTTAAGTACTTTATCATACTTGATCATTTTAAAATAATCGACGCATATCGACCAAGAAAGAACCGTATTAAATGATCACTTTTACCCACTGGTTGTCTAAAAAAAATGCAGTAGACTTAATGTTCTTGATATGCATATAGAAAATATGTTTATCATGTATAGTAAAAACAGGGATGTCCTGATAGAGATAAGATTTATGAAGGCAGGATCTACTGCGAAATATTTTTGTACCTGACAAAATGATTGCGCATCAGGCCTTTAGTTTTATTGAGATAAATATGAAACCATATGGTATATCGATTAACAGGTACAGTTCTTTGCAATAGCACTTGAATGTTAGCTACAGGACTGTAGCGTTATGGTTTTATATATAGTTTTTGACCATAATGCTACGGATCCTGTAATGCAAATAAGATGCAGTTGGGGCACAAATTATATTAATCCGAGATTCCTCTGACTCTAACCCCCGCTTTTATATTATGACTTGTGCGGGGGAGAGTCAGAGCGGACGCCATATCAAAAACTGGGAATTTGGCGAAACTAGCTGGTGTCGCGACTCTGCCTACCTTTTACAACTTTATTTCGCGGAGCTAACTCCCGAGACGCGAGAAATCAGTAAAATAATTATTATTCTACTTGTTAATCGTCATTAAAAGGATGCTACCGCCGTTTAAACAGTCCTATCACCGACAAATGAAGCATCACTTGAATTAGGTCGCCTCCTCGCCATTCGACTTCTTTGCGCATGACGTCAGCACACAAATACCAGACCTGTTTACTCTTACGATTTCACCGTATTTTGTACGGATTTTTAGTTTTAAATACGTCTCACGTTTTGCTATTATGAAAATACGGAAATCAGAAATATGCTCGTTTGGAATTTAGCTGTTAGTTTTCGTTATGATCGGTCTTCGTTTCAAATTTTTTTTCGTCTGGCTGCCCCCCCCCCCCTTTCAAAAACGATGCTACGTGCCTTGTCGGGTTGCCAAAACGCTCTGGTATTATAAAATGACAAAGACCATGTTGTTAAACCAAGTTTTTGTAATCAGAAAAGCAGTTGTTCTCTTTAAATATATGTAAAATCGATGGAAAGTTAAATCTTACTGGCAATTGCCAAATCTCACGGATAAAACTGATCAAAAATACTGAGAGACGACGATATGGGTAAACAGGTCTGAAATACACAAAATTCCAAAGTAACACGTGCTCAAAACACGTGTGGACCTTTCGGAAAAATATGAAAGTGTTGGGAAAAAATACATGTATAAAACAATATAATGATGTTTCATTTATTTATTTATAAGGAAAGCAACTGTCAAAAATGACTTCTATGCTAAAATTAGGTTAAAAACAGCATTAACACCAAACATGATATTTTCACGTGATAGTTTTGTTTGTGTATTTGTGTGTGACGTCATGCGCAAAGAAGTCGAATGGCGAGGAGGCGACCTAATTCAAGTGATGCTTCATTTGTCGGTGATAGGACTGTTTAAACGGCGGTAGCATCCTTTTAATGACGATTAACAAGTAGAATAATAATTATTTTACTGATTTCTACAGTTAGCTCCGCGAAATAAAGTTGTTAAAGGTAGGCAGAGTTTTATATATTAGTTTTCGATATGGCGTCCGCTCTGACTCTCCCCCGCACAAGTCATAATATAAAAGCGGGGGTTAGAGTCAGAGGAATCTCGGATTAAAATTATATCAAACACCGATTTTAGTAAATGTGTCATAGACAAGCTCATTCCTCTAGAAACATGTTTCCAAGCAAATCATCCTGATTAATGTAATTTGAAGGTGTAAATTTTATAACTATGTTCCCCACAAATTTCATCTGGAGGGTGATGAATCCTAATTAAGACATTCCGGTTTATGAGGTTCCACTGTATAATAGTGTATAATGATTTTTTTGTTATTGATTATCATGTAGCAAACAAATGTGCTTATATCTTCATGCAAGTTGCCAATATATGAAGGTTGAAAAGTTATTTCTTTATTTCACAGAGATTAAGAATGTTTTAGGTTATCTATTGTTCATATCTGATTCTTTTCAGTTAACACTGAGGTTAAATGGGCTTTAAGTTACACACAATCTGATTATTTTATAGATTTCACTGAGATGATGAGGGCTCTAGGATACCCAAGATTAATCTCCATGGAAAACTTTCGAAATCCAAACTTCCCTCTGGTTGCTGAAGTAATGCGATGGCTTGTCAAAAGGTATTTAGCAATTTTTTATTGGCTTTTAAAGGTATTGTTTAAAATGATAAGCCCGAACAACAATTTTTCTCTGTGATTTTTTACAATTTAGATACGACCCAAATGCTGACATACATAGTGATATCGACACAGACCAAGACAGGGTGATATTCATCAAAACTGTGGCAGAATTCATGGTTTGTCAACAATTTAATTTTGAAGTAAAATTTAAAACTTTAAATTTACTTTTAACTTGAAAATATTGAAAGTAAAAATCTTTCAAGCCAAAGTGGGTTATATGGTTTGTACAGAAGCTTCACAGTCAGCTACTTAACTTTTTTAAATATTTCACAGAAATGAAATTTTAAGGCAATATGAGCTACAACTTTGATGTCAGAATATTTTGTTGCAAAATTGTAAATAACTACTTCAATGACAGAAAAAAATAACATTGATAAATTTCTGTTGTTCATATTTGTGATGGAAGAACTATTTATAACTATTAGCTTTGATTGAATCAAAATTGCACTTATGATTTTCGTCCTGTACAATAAAGATTTCTCATATACAACTGTATATTAGATTGTATACAGAAGTCTTTCTTTTGCTTTATTTTAGTCTAATTGATCACAAAGGTATAAGTTACGTACAGGTTTATCATAATAACACATTTTATCAGCAA